AAAGGATAAACAAGATTGACAAACCTCTAGCCAGGCTCACCAAGAAGCAAAGAGAGAGGACCCAAATAAACAAAATCAGAAACGATAGAGGCGAAATAACAACAGACCCCACAGAAATACAAATGATTGTTAAAAAATACTATGGACAGCTCTACTCCAACAAACTAGACAACCTGGAGGAAATGGACATATTCCTAGAAAAATACAACATTCCAAAATTCAATTAAGAAGAATCTAAAAATCTCAATAGGCCAATAACTATGGAAGAAATTGAAGCAGTCATCAAAAAGCTTCCAGCAAACAAAAGCCCAGGACCAGACGGCTTCACAGGGGAGTTTTACCAAACATTCAAGGAAGAACTAAAACCTACCCTCCTCAGACTACTACAAAAAATTCAAGAGGAAGGAACACTTCCGAGCTCATTCTATGAAGCCAGCATCACCCTTATACCAAAACCAGATAAAGACAACACAATTAAAGAGAATTACAGGCCAATATCCCTCATGAACATAGATGCCAAAATCCTCAACAAAATCTTAGCAAATCGGATCCAGCAGTACATCAGAAAGATCATATACCATGACCAAGTAGGATTATTCCAGGGATGCAAGGATGGTACAATATCCGCAAATCAATAAACGTGATACATCACATAAACAAATTGAAAGAAAAAAACCACATGGTCATATCAATTGATACAGAAAAAGCATTTGACAAAATCCAACACCCATTTTTGATAAAAACTCTCAGCAAGGTGGGAGTAGAAGGATCATATCTCAACATAATAAAAGCCATATATGACAGGCCCACAGCCAATATCATACTCAATGGACAGAAACTAACACCATTTCCCCTAAGAACAGGAACAAGACAGGGATGCCCACTCTCACCACTCCTGTTCAACATAGTACTGGAAATATTAGCCATTGCAATTAGGCAAGAAGAAGAAATAAAAGGAATCCAAATTGGAAAAGAGGAAGTAAAACTGTCCTTATTTGCAGACGACATGATATTATACATAAAAAACCCTAAAGACTCCATCAAAAAGCTACTAGACTTAATACATGAATTTGGCAATGTAGCAGGATTCAAAATTAACCCCAAGAAATCTGAGGCATTTCTGTACACCAATAGTGAACTTTCAGAAAGAGAGATTATAAAAACAATCCCATTTACCATCGCACCAAAAAAATTAAGATACCTAGGAATAAACTTAACTAAAGAGGTAAAAGAACTCTACTCAGAAAACTACAGGACGTTGAAAAAAGAGATAGAGGAAGACATAAACAGATGGAAGAACATACCATGTTCTTGGATTGGTAGAATCAACATCATTAAAATGTCCATACTACCCAAAGCAATCTATAAATTCAACGCACTTCCCATTAAAATACCAATGGCCTTCTTCAAAGATCTAGAACGAACTCTCCAAAAATTCATCTGGAATAAAAAAAGACCCCGAATAGCTGCAGCGATCCTGAGAAAGAAGAAAGTAGGTGGGATCTCAATACCAGATATCAAGATGTATTACAAAGCCACTGTTCTCAAAACTGCCTGGTACTGGCACAAGAACAGGCATATAGATCAATGGAATAGAATAGAGAACCCAGAAATCGGCCCGAACCAATATGCTCAATTAATATTTGACAAAGGAGGAAAGAACATTCAATGGAGCCAAGATAGTCTCTTCAATAAGTGGTGTTGGGAAAATTGGACAGATATATGCAAGAAAATGAAACTAGACCACCAACTTACACCATACACAAGAATAAACTCAAAATGGATAAAGGACTTAAATGTACGACAGGAAACCATAAAAATTCTAGAAGAATACAAAGGCCACAAAATCTCAGACATATTCCGAAGCAACTTCTTCACTGATACAGCTCCTAGGGCACTTGAAACTAAAGAGAAATTGAACAAATGGGACTACATCAAAATAAAAAGCTTCTGCACAGCAAAAGAAACCATCAACAAAACAATGAGAAAACCCACTGCGTGGGAAAACATATTTGCCAGTGTCATATCTGATAAGGGCCTAATCTCCAAAATTTATAGGGAACTCATACAACTTAACAAAAGGAAGATAAACAATCCAATCAAAAAATGGGCAAAGGACCTAAATAGACACCTTTCAAAAGAGGACATTCAGAAAGCCAAGAGACATATGAAAACATGCTCAAAGTCACTAATCATCCGAGAGATGCAAATCAAAACAACAATGAGGTACCATCTTACACCTGTCAGACTGGCTATCATCAACCAATCAACAAATGACAAGTGCTGGAGAGGATGTGGAGAAAAAGGAACACTCGTGCACTGCTGGTGGGAATGCAGACTGGTGCAGCCACTATGGAAGACAGTATGGAGTTTCCTCAAAAAACTGGAAATGGAACTCCCATTTGACCCTGTGATCCCACTTCTAGGAATATATCCCAAGAAACCAGAAACACCAATCAGAAAGGATATATGCACCTATATGTTCATAGCAGCACAATTCACCATAGCTAAGATCTGGAAACAGCCTAAATGCCCATCAGTAGATGAATGGATTAGAAAACTGTGGTACATCTACACGATGGAATACTATGCTGCTGTAAGAAAGAAGGAACTCTTACGATTTGCAACGGCATGGGTGGAACTGGAGAGCATTATGCTAAGTGAAATAAGCCAGTCAATGAAGGAAAAATACCACATGATCTCACACATTCATGGATAATAGAGACCACTATAAACCTTTGAACAATAATAGATACAGAGGCAGAACTGCCTCAAACAGATTGTCAAACTGCAGCGGGAAGGCCGGGGAGGGTTGGGGGGCAGGAGGAAGGGGGGTAAGAAATCAACTGAAGGACTTGTATTCATGCATATAAGCATAACCAATGGCTATAAGACACTGGGGGGTAGGGGAGGCCAGGGGATTGTCAAGGGCGGGGGAAAAAAGAGACACATATGTAATACTCTTTGTAATACTTTAAGCAATAAAAAAATTAAAAAAGAATAAAATAAAAAGATAAAATAAAATGCCTATATTGTATATTTGTTGAAAAAAAAAAGAAAAGAAAATTGACTGGCTTAGAAATAACAGAGTTTGCCCTGGCCAGTGTGACTCAGTTGGTTGGACCATCGGCCCATGCATGGAAGGGTCATGGGTTCAATTCTCTGTCAGGGCACATACCCACGTTGCAGGTTTGGTCCCCAGATGGATCGATGTTTCTCTCTCTCTCTCCCTCTCCCTTCCTCTCTCTAAAATCAGTAAAAATATATCCTCAGGTGAGGACTAAAGAAAGAAAAAAGGAAATAACAAAGGTTGTATTTTATTTGAGCAAATACAATATAGTATAACAAAGCAGTTATTTTTCTCCTTTTATTCATTTTCCATCCCTGCTGGAATTATTTGTGTGTAAAGAGAATAGTCCTGAAATAAATATCTTAAATCTTATTATGTTAGTTATCACATGGCAAAATGAGTTTTTGAAGAACAAAGTGTTAAAAACGTACTTATGAGAAAATGATTTATATAGAAAAAAGCTACACATAAAGCATAAAGATTAAGATATACCAAGCTTAAGTAATTCAGAATCAGGCCTGTGTCTTTAGGATGACCTTAGTAAAGAAGGGGCACATTTCTGAGAATCTTGGTCTACTACGATGAAACGATGTCATGGCTAGCTGGCTGGCAACAGTTCCGCTTGTCTCAAACATGTCCAAATTGCTTAATTACTTTTCACTGCAATCTAGAAAAACACAGTGCTGGCTCCACAAGTCCTCACTATATATTTTAAAGGTGTACTTTAGGCACACATGAAGCAGCATGTACTGGACACAAGAAGAAAACGGAAAAGGGATGGAATATGTCTTGTTTTGGGCAAGCGTAGTGCACAAACACATTTCAACACAGAGAAGTTCACTTCTTTTATTTCCCCATTTCAAATGTTTTAACATTATGAACTACATAATGACAAGGTGGTGTAACCCCATGATCCAGGATCAGTAATTTCTATATTCAAAAGTCCTGATTCTGAAACTTTTGGAATGAAACCCCCCCCCCCCCGCCCCGCTCCCACCCCAAATGCAGCTCTGGATTCTATGAACCTATGTTGTCAAGATGTAGATATCCATGCAGCTTCCAATTTACTGCTTGCTGTGTTCAGCGCATTTGTAGGCAGTATCTATTGGAGGCTGAGTGGAGAGTTATAAAATCAAGCTATTTTTATAGCAAGAGCTTTGGTTTCAGGGACAAATTGAATGAGCAAGAATTCAGTTCCAGTGCACCTTTGAGAGCTCAGCTGAAGCTGTTACCACCTTCCTGAGCAACGTATGTCCTCACCATCTCTGGATGGCAACATTGTCAGTTGCATCAACAGCTTTCTTCCAGAACCCATTTTATTTGATATTGATGGCCATGCCTCACAGAAGCCTGGGACCATCCCAGCCCCAGGAGTTGAATTTTCACTGGAAATCCAGTGCTTTTAATTCCATTCTCCTTACCAGTGACTGGTTATGATGAAAATCTAGCTAGTAAGAACTCAGAGGGTCCTCTGTGCAAGTTGTCCTTGCTTTTCAAATAGGACAAAAGGAAGAGATGCTGCCTGTCTCCTCCCTGAAACTGCGGCAGCAACATTAGATCAGGGGACCCAGCCTGAACAGAGAGCAGGGGGAAAGATCTGGTCGTGATGCCATTATGTCACTATATTGAGCAGCCTAGGATTTCCTACCTCTGGACTTATTTGGTGAGATAATAACATTTTATTTACTTATTTATAAATATTTTTTTGTTTAATCCTCACTGGAGGATATTTTTTCCCCGTTGATTTTTAGAGAGTGCAAGGGAGGGAGGGTGGGAAGGGGGAGAGAAACATCAATGTGAGAGACACATAGATTGGTTGCCTCCTACATGCAGGATCAAACCTGCAACCCAGGTATGTGCCCTTGATTGAAAATTGAACCTGTGACCCTGCAGTCTGCAGTCCAATGCTCTAACCACATCGCAACACCGGCCAGGGCTAAAATTTTATTTTTAAAGCATTATGGAGATGAGGGGACATTTATTTTCGGTCCCAAGTAATCAGATGCAATCCTCTTCCTCTGAAATAACTATTTTAGAGTGAAGCACACATTCTTTTTTAGACCAAACTAATTCTTGTGTACTGACTTGACCTTCCCCCTCTCCTAAATTCAAGCACCTTGGAGTGTGTGCTCTGGATTTCGTCTAGAGGACCTTCCTCCCCAGCACTACTACATCAAGGTCTGGTTCAAAATCTACCTCCTATAGAAATATTCTTATAAAATCCTTGCCTACATCTTTCTCTAATTCTAGCACATAGCATTTACTGCTTGTCTGCTGACTCCTGAGTCTTCTCTGTGTCTGCCATTAGGCACACATTTGATTTAGTGACTAACTGAACGAATGACTGACTGATTGACTGAATACAAAGGGCCATTTTTCTTCACCTGAAACTTGGGGTTTTCCTTACTCTTCTTCCTTGTCTTCTTTCCTCATCTAACTTCTCTATAAGACAAAAATTGAGATAAATTTAGAGCTCAGACTCCGAAAGAAGGATCCGTATTTCTAAAGAAAGCTCCAAATGGTATGCCCTCCCTTCTGGGAGTTACAAATAAGTGACAGAATTATGATGGGGGAGTAGTAGTTAGATGCTATATAAATGACCTCCTACTGCTGTACCTCCCCACATGGATTGGCCAGTTCTATTATTGAAACTAGGGGTGGGATGGCGGCATCCTCAACAAGGCAGAAGTTATAGTAGAAAATATAGCAGAGTCTAGCACAGAGTAAGCCTTCAACAAAGGTCTTAAGAGTGAATGAGAGAAGACATAGGCAAAGAACAGGGCATGGTTAGGGCTTTGGGCTTATACCTTGAAGCTCTTTATTATAAACATAGAATGAAATGTGGATACCAGCAATAATACTGCTGTCTCAATGTAATGAACTTCATCTAAATGTGCTAACATAAAAGTATTTGATCTAATGTAGACTTCAAGCTATTTTGAAATGGAAAATAAAATCTTGGGTTGTTTTTACTTTAAAACTCCTATAGTTGTTACCTAAAACTCAAAATAGAAGTCTATCAGCAGATTTCCAGACCATGTGCAGAGAGGCCTACTCTACCACACAAGCTGAACTTGAACAGTGGCTCTTCTGTGTAGCAGCTCTGGGGCCATCCTTCTGATGAGATGGCAGAAAAAGCATTTGCAGAAATCAGACCCAGTGTGGAAATCAGCTCGAGCACCCTTGAAGGTCTGCAAATACAATTTTAACTCTAACTTCTACCCCATTCCAAGTTATTAACAATTTTTTGTAACTTTCATTAGGTAACATTAAATCGACACTGGAGTTTCTGCAAGATCTTTTCTATTACACAATAGAGTAAAAACTGTAGGAAACGTTCAGATAGTTAAATGACCACTAAACACTACATGTGTACTCAACATGGTTCTATTAAAAATGTCCTTCAACTATGGCATTCAAGGACAGTAACGCAATATTTCCCTTACAAAGCAACTGATTATAAAAATCTGCAAATGCCATAAATTCATTTATAGGCTCTTATTTTTATAAAGGCATGTCACTAGTTTCTTTCAATTCTTTCCTGAAGTATTTTTTTGTGGTTTACTTTTATTGTATTGCCGGATGCATTACCTTTGATCATCCTTTCCTAAAATGATTTTTAAAAGACCTGCAGAAAATTTTATTGCATAGGACACTACTGAGGACACAGAAATTGGGAACTGCAAATATGTGGCACTGGAACAAGTCTTACAAATATTTCATTTTAAGAATTTGCTAAATACAATTTTTTATAGTTTGTCTCTTTTAAAAAATTGAAGTTACAGCTAAGTTAACTACGTACAATGAAGCATTTTAGGAATGTTAGAATTTCGAGAATATGATGAATGATACAAAGGAAAAAAGCCATAATTCTTGTCGGCTACATATTGTATTGCCTTCAAAAGCAATTGTACATGTTGTATTCAGTTCATAGTTAAATATTTCTACTAATCTGTTTTAGGAGAGCAAATGTCTTTCAAGGTTTCAAGTTCCTCTATAAGCTTCTTGTTCTGAACTTCCAGCACTGCAACTCGACTCTCCAGACATTTTACATATTCTTTCTTTCGACGTCGACATTCTTTAGCAGCTTCCCTGAAAAAAAGTAGAAGCAAAAGGGCAAACAAAACAATTTTTGCATGCATGCTATTGACAAACAGACTGAAGTAAGCTTGGTATATGTGACATGGTTGCACTCCAAATCTTGGAACAACATTTCTAATTAAATTTCAAACACTAAGCCAAACCAGATTCTTAAGGGTCACAAATGTCCCTTCCATATGTCCACATGGCAATTAGTAGAATTGCTCCATCTCCTGCCTTGATTAGAGTTCACAGTAAACAAGATCCAAGTCAAAGACTGTTACTCTGCTTTATGGCAATAAAGATCTTTAAGGGCCTTGAGTTCCTCAATGAGAGTCTTGTTTTGGTTTTCAAGCACAGCCACACGGTTTTCAAGACATTTGACATATTCTTTCTTCTTCCTGCGACACTCCCGGGCAGCTTCCCTGGAACCAACACAAGGCAAATGACTCAGGAACAACCTCCCCGCACACTCCAGAGGGGCTCAGTGAACTTTGACCCCCCAAACTCAACAGCCAGTCAGTCCTAGGTAAGGTCTGTACAAAGCCACACAACAAATATACCGAAGCACATGCCATTTTTAAAGGTGACTCTAAGACAGTGATGGCGAACCTATGACACGCATGTCAGAGGTGACATGTGAACTCATTTTTTTGGTTGATTTTTCTTTGTTAAATGGCATTTAAATATATAAAATAAATATCAAAAAATATAAGTCTTTGTTTTACTTTGGTTGCAAATATTAAAAAATTTCTATATGTGACACGGCACCAGAGTTAAGTTAGGGTTTTTCAAAATGCTGACACGCCGAGCTCAAAAGGTTCGCCATCACTGCTCTAAGACAACAGGAATGACTTGAGAGCAGTCCATTTGACCAGCATTCATCGTAAATGGTGTTTTCTTAGGGCATACATTCCATGAGAACTGTAACCAGAATTGTTTTCAGTAACCTAAAACAGTAGAACCACATCCCCAAGTGGAATTTCTACAAAAACATTTACAGATCCTTTCAATTATCTTAGTCATTTTTATCCACCAGAAGTCACATATTCCATCAGTTAACTTTATTTGATCAAAAATAATTACAAAAATCAATCCTCAGAAACCTTAAATGTCAATATGGGAGATTTTAATTCTTCAAGACTAAATCTCAGTGAAACAAGTAAATCAATCACAACTGCAAGAAACAGTTTATTGATTGGGAAACAACATGAATAAAAATAACAATAAATGAATTATAAATCATGCACATTTTCATAAACAAAAATGAAATAAACTCTGCTTCTGGAAATTAAAAAAGGAAAGAAGGCATGGTACATAATAAATATTCAATAATTCAGACAATTTAAATCCAGGAATGTGAGACACCACAATTAAAACCATGAAAAAGAAGCTACTGAATAACTCAAAAGCGCACTTCAAGACTGTTCTCTCACCAAATGCCTTTACTAACCAATATACTGAATTTTAAAGTACTGTAGGCATGCCCAAAGGAAAGAATAGACCAGCAGCCAAAGCAACAAACACAATAAGTAGATGATTTACAGTCATTTTCATGCATGACCCTACCCCCAAAAAACAAAACTATGAAAACAGCTAACATTTTCTTTCTCCTTTTCTTCAGGGCGGGGAGGGGATGGCAACTACATCATTTAATTCCTTTATAGGATGTATCCTAATAACAATTTTTTTTTTGGAGTTTACAATTCGGAATAAATGCCTTTGGGGTAACCTTCACATTTAAAAAAAATCCTACATTGCAAGACAATTCAACATTTTATCAAAAGTTGTGTTGAATGTCTAAATACCAATTACTGTAAAGCCAATTACCATCACTGCATTTCTGAACTAGGATTGATGCACACAACAGATTTGGCCAATTCTGCTCTATTTTTAGGATAGTTGACTCTAACTAATAATTGTCTATCTGTGTTTTCTCTGTGGGAAGCTAAAGTCAGCAGAAAAGAAGAGAACTTGAAATCCCAATGAACTGCAGGAAAAAATCACCCCTATTTCCTAGCCAAGAACAATGCACTCACCCTGTGAACCCACAAAGTTCTCAGATTTCTCAACTGGTTAATAAAACAGTAATAATATACAAGTGAACTGAATCTGATAAATATAGATTAACTTAATCTAAATGATGTACAGGAAAAAGTTAAGAATAAATTCAAGCACACATAAATCTGCCAGTTTGGGAACATAATTCAACTCTTCCAGGAGGAGCTAAAATACATTTAATGAAACCAAGGTTTTCATGAATAAATCATTATATTAAATTCCAAATCTGGAAGGAAGATAGTCATTTTTAAAAGAATTCACCATTAAATGAAAATTTAAATATGTAACAGATGCTTGCTTTGGCAGCACATATACTAAAATTGGAATGATACAGAGAGGATTAGCATGGCCCCTGCGCAAGGATGACACGCAAAGTCATGAAGTGTTCCATATTTTAAATAAATGAATAATAAATAAATATGTAACAGCAATGTTGTGGGCTGGTCAATTTTTAAATTTGTGTTTACCAAGGTGTACTATTTACTGTGAATACCCATACTTGGTATTTCACGTGCGTGCATGTGTGTGCTACCAGAGTCAAATGTTCCAAGCACAAAGCTTAAATAATCACACTAGTAGATGGCACATTCCTAAGTATTTCTCAGCTATTCAAAACACCTGTTTCTTCTATTAATAGTTAGCTCAGTTTTCAGGCCTTGCATTTGTCTGGATATATCTTCAGCATGGAGAGAAAATACATGGTAAACAAGAAAAGCTGACAAGGCTGTAAAAATATAAAAACTGTCTCCAGATTGGTAGAAACATAATTAAATATCCATGATAAATGCTAGCCAAAGAGAAAAATGTATAAAGCTCTTTCATGTTAATGAGTAAAACCTATATTCTTTCCATAAAGTTAAATCTGAAGCTCACACTGAGGTCTTTTTGGGGTGACTCTGGTGTTGATGCAGTGGACAAGCTCTGGAATGACGCTTAATTGCATATCCAGGTTCTGTCCACTTTGCACTGTGTAACCAACTTATTATATAAACTCTCTGAACCTTAGTTCCTCAACTGTAAAGTAAGGATAATAACCGGCCCTATCCACATGTGAAAGTTAGGTGACAGTTATAGAAACAGTAGTTATAAAGCACTTAAAACTTACATATGGTATTTACTCAACAGATACTGAGCAACCTAATAGCCCTTTATTATCTGCTTTTCTTTTGTCTTGCTCTGAAATTGAGATCTGGAAAGCTAAAATAGACCCTTCTCAGAATCCCTTGCAGCTAGAGATTCTATTAGCTATTTCTGGTCAATGAAATGTGGGTGAAAGTTGTTGGCAGGGTCTTCCAGGAAAAGTGTTTAGAAGGGTCAGACTTAACCAGCCCCCATTTCCAGCTCCAATTCATCTCTCTTCTTCCTGACTGAAGTAATGCCTGGAGGTGTGGCAGCCATGTTGTAATCACAGGAACAAATGTCACACTCAAGATGACAGAGCAGGGAGGAGGAGCTGGATCCTTGATGACACTGTGGAGCCTTTGTTCTGGCTGCATGCACCTCTGGACTGGCAATCAAAATAACACCTCCATTCCCTTTAGTTATTTACAGCCCAAACACAAATGCTATCCAAAAGTTATTAACTAATTATTTTTTAAAATTCAAAAAAATGCAACCCCTCCCCTTTCAGGGAGAACTGATATGTGTGTGTATGTAGCTGTGGGGCACCTTTTATAGGAACCTACTGCCTAATATTTTATCTATTTCATTTTGGTAGTTCTGACAAAATTTTTTAATATAAAAATAAAGGTAGCCCTAGCGGGTTTGGCTCAGTGGATAGAGCATCAGCCTGTGGACTGAAGGGTCTCAGGTTCAGTTCCAGTCAATGGCACATGCCCAGGTTGAGGGCTCCATCCCCAGTAGGGAGTGTGCAGAAGGCAACCGATCAATGATTCTCTCTCATCATTGATGTTTCTATCTCTCTCTCTCCCTCTCCCTTCCTCTCTGAAATCAAGAAAAAATGCATTTAAAAGTAAAGGTATAAAATGACAAAAGGGAGATAAGAAGGCTACTTTTTTAGTTCTTCCTTTTTATTTTCTTTGGGAAAATAAGACATGGATGAACAATTTTGCATTATCATCACACTTTACATTCTAAACTGAACCTCACAATGTACATTCTATGACCAGAGGGACAATTATATTCATAGCCTAAGATCTCTGAAAGTGCAGTTTTAAAGTATCCATGTTCCTCCATATAATCAAAGTTAGGGATCTTCAATAACAAGATCTCCACAAAACAACTATGATACTATGTGAGCCCCACTCATTCAAGGCCCTTCAGAATTTCTGAGCAAAATACTGATGATGCAAAATGTGAATCCAGCATGACTTATAAACCTGGAACAACCAGTGATAAATATGCATGTATCTAGCGAGGTTGGTGTGGCTCAGAGGTTGAGCATAGACCTATGAACCAGGAAGTCATGATTAGATTCGTGGTCAAGGCACATGCTCAGGTGGCGGGCTTGGTCCCCAGTAGGGGACGTGCAGGAGGCAGCCAATCAATGATTTTTTTTCTCATCATTGATGTTTCTACCTCTCTCTCCCTCCCTCTCTGAAATCAATAAAAAAAATATTTTTTAAAAAAGATGTATCTAATGAGTCTATTTCTGGTAATCCATTGAGTTTCACAGGGTAGAAAACTCCATCTCATTATTTGTGATAACTAATAAACTTAGGAACTGTAGCAAACATAAGAAGTCCTATAATATATCAAATTGTGCCATTTAAAAGGCTATATTAGTAACCTGAATATAGCTTCTACTGCTTCAGATTCTGTTACAAAGAATAGTGATGAACTCAGCAGTTGTTTCTGTTTTTGAGAGGCTCAGAAACCACAATTTCTACATTAACTAGGTTGCTAAAATCTAGTAAATTAACTACTCCCATGTGGTCCTGATCATAGGAAAACACATAATTCCATCTGAAATGTTTTGTTTTCTTACAATGAGGACATTATTTAAAACCTAGAAATAAGGTAACAAGAGTACTGGGAAACCAGACTATTATTATTCTGTTCATTTTGAAAATCAGATTAATTTGCACCATTATCCATAATAAAAATTGAACCAAGAAATGATATGCAAACTAGATTTTAAAAAATAATTTTCGGAAACAGCATTTGTATGATATACTGCTTTAAAAAAAAAAAAAAGTTACAGCCCTGGCCAGTGGCTCAATGGTTAGAACATCAGTCCATGCATTGAAGGGTCTCAGGTTCCATTCAGGTCAGGGGCACGTGCCTGGGTTACAGGTTCGATCCCAGGCCCGGCCCTGGCACATGCAGAAGACAACCAATTGATGTGTCTCTCTCACATCAGTGTTTCTCTCTCTCTCTCTCTCTCTCTCTCTCTCTCACTCTCTCTTCCTACCCACCATCCCTTCCACTCTCTTTAAAAATCTAAAAGTCAATGAAAGAAATATCCTTGGGTGAGGATTAACAAAATAAAATAATAAAGTTACAGTGATAGGGTGCAAAAACAAGTGAGAAAATGAGAGAGAGCAGGCTGGAAATGTATATACTACTATGCACGAAATTCGTTCAAGAGCAGGCCTTCGCAGCCCCAGCTGCCTCGGCCCTCGCAACCCTGGCTTCGTCTGGAAGGTCGTCCGGACGGTCGTCTGCTGCTCGGCAGTTCAGTTGATTTACATATTCTGCTTTTATTATTACAGATAATATCAGTAGGTATCTCTAAGTGGTGGGGCTATGAGTAATTTTAATTCTTTCTGTTGTTTTGTATTTTCATTTGACTACAATTTATCAGAATAAAGATGTATTTCAAATACAATCAAGAAAAAACAAAGTTAAGAAATAGATCAAATGAAATATGTAAAAAATTTAAGAGCCCTAGCCAGTTTGGCTTGGTGGATAGAGCATTGGCCCACAGACTGAAGGGTCCTGGGTATGATTCCAGTCAAGGGCATGTACCTCAGTTGCAGGCTCAAACTTTGGCCCTGGTCAGGGCATGTATGGGAGGTAACCAATTGATGGTCTCTCTCACATCAATGTTTCTCTCCCTCTGTCTCTCCCCCTCCCTCCCACCCTCTCTAAAAATCAATGGAAAAAATATCCTTGGGTGAGGATTAACAAGAAATAAAAAATAAATAAATTTAAATAAACAAAAACTTAAGAAAATTCTTAACGCATACAAATTTATTTTACTAATAAAGAAGTTAGAAAATTACACTTATCACCTAACTTCACAAAGTAAATACTAAGTACAAAATAAAATTTTATTTGTAATAAAGCCCTTCCATCATCATTAAAAAAATTAATGTATCTTTCAGACATTACCTTTGTAACACAGGATTCAATCTCCTCCTGATGAAATAGTTTCATGATTAGGAACTCTGACTAGCAGACAATCTATCATGCAGAGCACAAATCCACATAAAATGCCACTTAACACTGAACTTGGGAGAAATAGCTTAGGAAAAGTAATTTTTTAAAAATCCCAAAGTAACAAATTGTATGTCCTATAAGTGGTTGCTGATTTCTAGTGAACCATCTTACCTGTTTTTCATTAGCCTCAGCTCTCGTTTGCGTGTGGCTTCTTCTGCAAGTTGCTGGGGGCTGTGCAAACTTCCTGGTGAGGCAGCCATCACTACTCCCTGTGGCAAAGCAGTAGTAGGCGCTCGGATCTGGTAAGTTGGCATGTCACCAGTGGCAGCTGCAATGAAATATTACATGCTTATATAAACAATTTAAAACTTGATATCTTTAAATAAAATTTCCCTGGAAATAATATACTTCTTATTACATATTCTAAGAGGTGATCTTGCTAATGTTTAAGATGACTATTCTGAGCATTATAGAAATCGTAGGTATCAAAGATCTTCAGTACTTGGAACAATGATATTCAGCATGCTCTATACATTTAAGGTAGAAAAATGCCCTAATGCATTTTAGATAAGTTTTTATCAAAGGCTAAAAGTAGAGAGGCTTTTCAACTGAGAGTTCGCTAAGTCTAAAATCAGTGGTGTGCTGATAAATGTTTAACAACCAGATTTGTGGAGGGAAAAGCCCTGATACGTCTGTAGCATGTCAATTCCCATGATGTAAATGCTTGCACCATGGCCAATTTCAAGCTACCAGTGTGACTTCAATGAATGTAGAGTCAGGATGATATACACAGTAAGTAGCACACCATACAGATAAAATAGATGTAAATAACTGCAAGAGCATAGATTAAAAAATTATAAATGATAAATTTTGAGTATTTATTAATGTTTTTAAGTAACTTGTTAAATGTATATTTACATTTTTAATAGCTATTTTAACAATCAGCTCACAAAAATCCTGAAAATTTAACAATCAGCTCTAGCAAATCAGTGGGAGCTGGTTCTAGCACATCACTGTGAAAATTTTAATTAAGCAGAACATTTCTATCCAGTTAATTTTCCTATAACCTATACCCTCACCTAATCTCTTTAAGTGGAAGTCCTAACACCAGAATATGACTGAAGTACTGGAAGGAAAATACTAACTCACTGTATTTTCATTTAAAAGCAAATAAAAATCAAAACAGCAAAACTCTTTAAAACTGGTTTCTCTGGGGAATGATAATTTTTGTCTGTCTTAGGTTTATTGAGATAATAATATAGTCATTTAAACGTATGTTTTCTAATGATAGTATAATCATAGTTAAATGACAGTATTTATTTAGTATTCAGATTGCATACTAAAGTTCTCAAAGTGTCTTGATTTATAATCAAAATGTGTGTATCTACTGCAGTAAAAAACTTCCTTAAAACAGAAAGATGGGTTGAAGTGATAAAACATTCCTACCATCACTGTTTCAACTTTGAGAACATGCAATCCAGAGTTCATGTGACATTCTGATGAGATATGACAAAATATATGCTCCCTCAGAAATCAATGCAAGAAAATGGGTTTAAAGGTTATTAAATCCTATAAAACTTGGTCTGAACCAAATGCTAATCAAAATATGAAACACATTGCTTCTATATCTTACTAAAATATGTTATATCCATTGACTAAGAACTGAAATTTTACTCAAAAGGGAGACAAATGCTTTTTTCAGGTAAATAGAATAATATCACTGAAACTAGCCAATTAGATTAAAAGGTTAATCAAAATTCATCTATATGTTTCTTTTGGGGGTAAATGCCAGGTTTTTACCCCCACCCACTCCCCCGGGCTTAAGAATTAGAGGAAAGAATAAAACAATAAAAATATGGCTTTGGGTAAAGATCAGAGGTCTTCACAGGGCAAATAAAAATACCATTTATAATGTTGTACTGCTTCTTCCTTCTATATGTAATATAAGAAATAATAATAATAAGTAGAAATTATGATAAATATAATAATGATCACCAACTTGGGAAAAATCCTAAATTTGTTTTTGTGACAATTTAAAATAGTATATACACAGAAGTCTCATTATATGTCAGAAATTTTATAACTTTGAAATATTTGGAGAGAATTTTCAAGTCAATTATAAACTATTAATTTACTAAAGATTTAAAATATATATTTAAATCAGATTGTAGAGAAGATTAAAGCACAGAATAACAGTTCTCTTCTCTGTTCTCTTTACCCACATCAGGAAAAAAGGTTATGGGATAATAAAGGCTGAAACAATGGAACAGCTGGAGCCTACAAAGGCTTTCTAAAATTGGAACAATAGCAGTGACGAAGGAGAAGTTTACATGTCATCATGTTGACATTTTAAGCAGCATGGATGCAGACCTTGGTTTTGTTCTTGCCAAATTGCTCACAAATAAGTGCAATAAAATTAATACAAAGGTACAGAAGGGTTTATTATTCTCTCTCTAGTTTTGTATACACCTGCTTTTTTCTGTACTTAAAGTTAAAGCAGGATGTTTATACAATATACAAAAGTTAGTTTCAAAGTATCCTTTTTTTTTTTTTTAATGAAAAGGGAAGGCAGGAATACTTCACAGATAAAAAATAAAGTTCATTCATTGATCTTAGAACCAGAAATGGTTCTAAATTTTTGCCTATTTCCAAAAGCTGAAGCCATATTCAAAAGACCAAATTTGGCACCATGAAGGATAAAGGTGACTCAAAAGAAACATTCTTAAAACATTCTGAGCAACAGCTTAGAAAAA